CCCTAATATAAAAAAGAGCCTCATTATCTTTGTGAAAAACACTGCGGATTTTTGTTGTGCAGTGTAATCTAGATATATAGAGGCTTTTCAATCATTTTTTCGGATTCTCCTTCTCTATTATGGGTTGGCAGCTGGTCCTTGGATCCTTCATGGGATTTTTTCCTTCCTATACTATATATGAAACTTTATTATCAAATATGTGCATAGTATCTAAATTACCCGCCTAGTCCACATTTTTCCTACAATTTCTGTACCATTCGTTTATTAGGTATTAAAAGGGCAGAATATTCCCTTAAAAACGCGCTAAAAATCAGGAAAGAATCTTGGGATTGATTGATTCTACATTAAATTCAATTTTTGAAACGGAAAGGAGATTTCTCATCTGCGTATTTTTCTCTTAAACTACAGTTTAAAAATTAAAAAAAAAAAGTACGAACAGCTTTAAAAAGTACGAACAGATTCAACTACGAACAGCTTCAACAAACTGAATTCAAATTGTAGAATTCAAATCTTCGAGATTCAACAACTCAAAATTGCTATATTCTGTTCTTCGTCGTTTTCAGAAATTAAATTGGCGATCATATATCTGTTCTTCATAATTTTTTCTCTCAATCTAGAAATCCAAAAAAACGAACAAATTTAGAATGATATGGGGGTTCGTGTGTATATGGAGACCAAAAAGAAGAATAAAAACTGAGGTTCATATTCGTTATGTAGAAGTGTACGAGATTTCAATATGGAATTGGCAATCACCAACGATAACACAAGTGCAGGTTTGTATTGTTCGAAATTGCATAGAATTATGGTTTTACGGTATTATCTACAAAATTACTACATTTGCCTACAATTAAACTACAAATCAGTTTAATGAAAGAATAAGGAGGAAACTACACTAATTACCCACTAAACGCAAAATAATAACCCGGTTTTACCCATTTTAATAATAATTACTATACCTACCTAACCCAACTAAAATTATTACCCGTCCACTCATTTTTCAATTGCCTTACCAACCTTTCTCCTCCTTAAAGCTTCCCTTTCCCTTTTCCCTTCTTCTTGTTTCTTCTTCCAGCAACAAAAATACTATCTCCGTCTTACATATCTCATATTTTCTCGTAGTGTTTGCGTTTGTTCGCGTCACTGTCCAGTTTTTTTATTGTGATTTTAATGAGTGAGATTTGATATGGTTTAATGATAAGCTAAATAACTATTTTGTACGTGCAGTGTTACAAAACTATTTCTAATATCCTTTGAGAAGTTCATAGTGATTTATTGTAAGTAAAATTAGATCAACCATTGAAAGACCTTGAAACTTGAAAATCATAAATTTCATTTGTCGAGTTTGTAATTGTTTGATTAGATTTTGACTGGCATGATTAAAATATCGATTGGCAACTGTAACTAAATGTTGAGTCAGTTTGGTCGAGACTGGAGCTGATTTGAGGTGATTGAGATCGAAATTTTCAGTTGAAAATCGAAAAAGAACACAACTGCAGTAATAATTGAAGAAGAACACTTTACCTAACAGTATACCGCTACAGTATACTAATATACTATAGGAGTATATAGTTATATTACAACAGTATACCATTATGGTATACAAATATATTGTTATGGTATACTGTAATAATATGCAAGATATTGTAACAATATGTTGTAATAGTATACAATATACTATAATAGTATACTTATTACCCGTAAATTCACTTGCCTTTTCCCTTTTAATTTGTTTTAAGCTTTTACCTAGCGTGAGCGGCAAATTGAAAATGCAAAAAAAAAAAAAAGAAATTTATAGTATGCTATATAATGTAACGGTATACTCTTACAATTAGATCCTTTTAGATTTTTTATAAAATTCTTATTGACAAATGATATTATTTCAGTTTAATAATTGAATTAAACTTTAACTCTTTACGTACAATTGTATACCCTATTGGTATAACTATATACTATACCGGTATCAAATGTTAGTTAATATTTTTTTGATTGTATTAGCTACATTTAATTGGTACACAATTTGATTTTTCTTTAGTAATAATATTTAAAAAAAAAAAGAATAATAATAATAGTGAAAATAGTAAATGAAATTAGATTATGAAGAGAAAAAGAATATAAAAAAAAAGAAGTTAAATGAAATTAGAATAGGAAAAAAGAAAAAATAAGAAGAAAACGAGAAAAAAGAAGAGAAAAGAAAAAGAAAAGAAAAGAAGCATAGAAATAAAAAAGAATTGGAGAATAAAGAGAAAATTCCCCACAAAAGCTAATATGAGTAGGAAATGTAATTAGTTTATGGGTTGTAAAACAAATGGGTAGACTAGGGTAAATAGTTTTATTTTTGTGGGTAACTGTGTCAAAACCCCGGATAAGGCAATGTTGTTTTCAAAATTATCTACAAAGTTACTACATTTATACGACAAAATAAACTACAATCTATGATTAGAAATTGTTGATTTCAATATGTCTGACATCCTAAAATGGATGACTACAAAATTTTTACTATATCTACAAATTGTCTACAATTGAAATGGGAATTGGGATATTAAAATTCAATGTATTCAGTTTGTAGATATTTTGTAGATAAAATTGTAGATTATCTGTATTCTGATTGTAGATGCATTGTTTTCTGTTTTCACAAATCCAAAACGACTAAAACTTCTACAAAATCTTCTGCAAAAAACAATCTACAATTTATCTACAATTGTTCTACAATTTATCTACAATTTCTGCAATATGTCTTCTTCTTCTTCTTCTTCTTCTTCTTCTTCGAGTTTCAATCTGAATTTCAGTCAAAACCAAGTATGTCCAGAATATTTATGAAAAACAGAAAAATTAAACAAAACTCATTTTTCCTAACTCTTTTATACATTGATATTAATTGCAGGTCAAGCATGGTATGCGTCTATTTACATCTAGTTCATTCTTTTCCTTTTTCCTTCTTTAAGAAAACAATAAAAATATTTTCCTATTTTGATGTTTTGCAGTGAAATTGGGGCCAAAGTTTTCAGAAACGGTGAAGGGAAAGTTGAAAATAGTGAAAGAAGGAGGGAGAAAGAATATATTCAGGAATATGTTTAATGTAAACGAAGGAGAGAAGCTGCTAAAAGATACAGAACAAAAAAACCGGCCCATTTTTGGTGCCTTGAATTAAGGAGGGATATATGCTGCATTAATGTACTCTTAAAATACATTATGGTATAGAATTTGTAATTTGGTACACTAAATGTAATTATATCAAACCTTAAACATTGAAGTTAATAAAATTTATATAGGAATGTAAAAATCCCATCTTTCATCGCGTCAAGCTGAAAGCAAGTTTCTTTTTCAGTGAAGTGTCATTTGGGCTATTTAGTCATCCAACCATTCAACCGATAATCTTTTCGAGAGAAAGCTAATAAGTGAGATCTTCCTTTGGTCTGCATGTCTGTATTGTCTTGTATGTGTAACAGTCATAACTCATAACGGTACTAAAAGCCATTAAACATTGCCAACTTTTCACATTTATTTTCTTTTCCTTTTAGATTTAGTTAGATACTCATGTAATATATACAGGAGAATACTAGTGTTGAATTCGTTTTGATGTTAAAAACTATAAATAACTATATGAATTGTTATGCTAATGGTATTAAATTTTCGATCGGTTTTATGCTGAAAAATCGAAAGAATAGTGGCTAAAAATATATTTTTCATTTTGTTCTAGTTTAATTTGCGGAGAAGAGAGAAAACTTTTCAAATTCTAAAAGCGGACTAACGTGAACTTGATACATAATATACTGTAGCATTTCATATTAATCATCTCGCAAAACATCTCCGAGGGTGCTTTCAGATTTTGTAAAAGTAAATAGTTTTTCTCTATTGGAAATTTTGTTTTTTTTTCCATTTCAAACAAATTAAACGCCACCTATAAAGAATATGATTTGAGTGTATCGCGCGTCTAGCGCGGACAAGAAATGGAAGTCAACAAGTAAGTTACTTTTTCTATATTTGCCTGGAATTACACAGGATATATAGGTCCATGATCAAGTTCAAAGTTTAACTACTCTCAGGACTAAGCAGTCAAATTATAGACTGGTTGACCCATCATAAAAATAATACTATGCCCTAAAAGTTCCTTAATTTTGTTGGGAAACCTCGAAATGTGATATATGCTAGAAAATAACGTGCACGTCGCTTCAAAATCCTAGGAAGTTTGTTAAAATCTATCCTTTGAGTCAAACAGATTAAGTTACGAGGTTTGTAAAAACCCATCCTATTTTTACTTACTCCAATCAGTTTTAGTTGTTATGGTTATTAAAAATATTTGGTCTAGCTTAAAATTTTAGAAATCAAGAAAGGATTATTTAACTTTTTTCATATTTACCCTTTCTCTAATAAATATATATGGAGAGATTAATATAGTAAAAACAAGAGTAATATTTGAGAAGATGAGGAATGACAATTTAGTCAAATTATATACTAACCGTCTCTGAGACATGAAATTTTGTTTATGGTCTCTGATTAATCTGTGTGAGATAATACTCAGAGTAAATAGTCTTTAGGAAGAATATTACTAACTGTTACCTTAAAAATAAAAATAAAAGCAAAACAGCAAGACTATACTATTTGGTATCTGCAATCCTTTATGGAGCAGTTAGTTTGGTGTAAACAGGATGCGCAAATAGTCATACCTACTGAGGCCAAAGTGCAGCATTTCCCAGAAAGATGCAGAAAATTAGGAGTAGTGTAATTTCAAAGTGAAATGTTAAGTGATTGGTGATGAAGCTTTTGGCATCAGAGTACTGTCCCTTCTCCGGAAACAGTCCTCCACTTTGTCTCACCATAAATACCAACCCTCTACTACTAGCAATTTTGTTCATCATCCCATTTATGTATCGCAATATTCATGATCTAAAATAGAAAGAAAAGTCCCATCTTTCCGAATCCAAAAGAAAATTTGCTGCTACTATTTTTTACATAAAACTCAGGCAAAATCACAAGCTAACCTATGGCTCTATCAAGGGAGTACTGCACACTATGTGTGAAACTTGGACTTATATTGGTTCTTTTATCGTCTCTGGCATTTCATCCTTCCGAATCAGGTGTGAAACTTGTTTCTTTAACTCTATTATAGGGCTAAATGCTGCATGCAAAGACAATAAAAATATGATTTTATTTAATTTTCACTCTTTATATAATACTTAGTTGATGAGTAATTTTCTATCTGGACTTGTGTTTGTGCAGTGAGTATGGCTAGGAAAATGGTGATAGGTTCAAGGCCACCAGGTTGCGTAAACAAGTGCATGAGTTGCCAGCCATGCAAGGCAACTCTAATCATTTCACCAAGCCAGAAGAACAAGGGCCATTACAATACAGATCCATCTAAAAGACAATCTGATGATATCTATTATCTCCTAGCTTGGAAATGCAGATGCAGAGATCAGCTCTTTCAACCTTGATATGGTCCTCCACCCGTCCAAGTTCAGTAGTAAATTTTCCTAGGGACATAATTGAATTAGTAGTGACTAGTGTCAACTATATATGCATCATCAACATCAGAAACATATTAGAAATATATGCTAGAGAGTTGAGGGATTAACTGTGTTTTAGTATATAAACTAAACACTGATTTTGTATTAGATGCTCAAATATATACTTGTATGCTTGCGGGCAAGAGTTGATGGCATTTGCTCAAGTCTGCTTCATGTTCTTTGATCTTGCTTTGTTTTCTTCTCTAAGTTTATGTGTTTTCTTGTTTGTACATATATACTTATCTTTTCTAGGTTTTTGCAGAAAGGACGATTCTTGAATACTGATTAAGAAGTGATGATCAGATCCAAATGTTGATAAGGAACGTACACAAGACGTGCCAATACGTTCAGCCTTTTCCCTATGCAATGATAACGTACTTAACGATGGAGTAGCAATTTGTAAAGCTGACAATTGCCTAGTCCCTATCGACATTTCTGTCCGACTACAAGTACAACTAGTTAGAAAATCAAACCAGTTCTATATTAACTACAAGTAGAAATCCATATTACAAATAGCCGGCCATATTTATGGTTTACTTTTTCTAGTCATATACATAAATTAACTCCCTCTGTTCTAATTTATGTGAACATATTTTCGTCCCAAAAAGATTGACCCCCCTCCCTATTTGGAAATAATTTAACTTTATGTAATGATTTATAGTCACACAAAATATATATGTTTCATTTTACACCACAAGTTCAAAAGTCTTCTCTCTTTTCTTAAATTCTGTGGCCAGTCAAATGGGTTCACATAAATTGAAATGTGTTGAGACAAAAGATGTAACTTGAATAAAGAGGTAGTTTAGTTTATTTATGTGCTAGCAGATTAGTGTGTTTGTTAGTAAGTTAATGATACACGCAATTGGCTAGTGAGGTTGTTAGAGCAGTTAGTAAAGGCTTGTATGTATGTATACTTGTACAAGTAATGAGACACGAAGTATTCATTTTTCTACTATTACATTCATCTTCACGCTCCTCTTCTCTTCTCTCTTCTCCCTCGTTAGTTAGGGTTTCCATCTCTTCTCAAACCTCCATTTCAGCATGGTATCAGAGCTCGAGCTCTGAATCGAAGCTCACAAATCGATCCTCTGTGTTCTTCTCTACTCTGTCTTCTTCTCTGCAGTCTCAAAACAATTGAGATCTTATTTTTCTGATTCAAAGCTCCAAAGTACTCAACAATGGTTATTGATGATTTGGAACATGAAAATACAACTGTCACAGCTGAAAATGCATCACATGCATCATCCGATGATGAATTTGAGGAAGGTGTTACAGTTGCAGTCACTCACCCTCTATACCTAGCTCCGGGCGACACAAGTGGAATTTCATTAATTTCATTCCAGCTGACTGACTCTAATAATTACTCCTTGTGGTATCGATCTATGCGTATTGCATTACTTGGCCGCAATAAACTGGGTATTGTTGATGGCAGGTGGCCAAAAGAGTGATTTCGTGAGAACTATTGGTATCAACGGGAACGGTGCAATGCAATTGTATTGTCATGGCTGATGAACTCAGTTGCACCAACCTTAATCGGTGGTATTGCTTATGCCACTTGTAACGATCCGAACGGTCATTTTGAGCATTTGCTCTTCGCTCAGTTGTTTGAGGGCATAAGTAGATCCGTGCGATCTATTACGACTTGTGTAGATCGGTGGTTTTGGCTTTTCAGGTAATTCGGAATTGATTTGGAACAATGAATTTCATGATTGAAGCTTTAAAGTTGGAAGAGTTGACCAAGTTTGACTTTTTAGTGTTTGACCTCGGATTGGAGATTTTATGGTTCCGATAGGTCCGGATGGTGATTTTGGACTCGGGCGTATGCTTGAATTTGCATTTAGATATTTCTAGAAGGTTTCGGCGCGAATTGGCGAAAGTTGGAAATTTGAAGGTTTGGAAAGTTCATAAGTTTGACCGAGAGTTGACTTTGAGGATATCGGATTCGGATTGAGGCCTAGAGTCGGTCCGTGATAAGTTATAGTACTTTTGGTATGTTTGGATGGGGTACCGAGTGGCTCGAGAGAGTTTCGAATAGATTTGGATTGTGTTGCGCTCGTTTTTTATATTTCGATGTCGTTTCTTTAAGCATAAATGGTACCACATTAAGCAAATGAGCTCCAATTTCTGTTTTGATTGAAGCATTAGATCCGTATCGTAATTACGGAGCCATATCAAAAGAATTATCGAATTTGGACATTGTATGAGGAGTTTATGGTTATTTTACTAAGAATTGGGTTGCCAGATTATTCAGATTAATTACGAAATTGCCACTGACTTCGTATTTAAAAATTTGCACTATTTCCAAATATTGAAACCAACATATCTCCTTCATTATAAGGTCGAATGGAGTGATTCAAAAGCCTAACTTGACTGAAATTTCACAAAGAATCCATTGGAGACATCAAAAGTGAGTTTTGGGATTATTTGGCAAACGAAATGAGTCAGAACAGCTGGGCAAAAATATTTAATATCGAGGGTTTGTTCATTTGGTCATATTTTTAGTTGGGGAGCCCGGATTTAGGCAATTTTTGAGGCGATTTTCACAATATGAATTGTGATAAGTTTTCACTACTCGGTTTTTGTTATATTTTGTGAATCTATCTTCGTTTTTGATAATTGGATTGTGAATTTTAAAGAGAAAATTGGGGTGTTTTGTACAAAGTTTCATAAAGTGAATTTTTGAGTTTTGAACATCGATTCGGAGTCGAATTTAGGTGAAACTAGTATGGTTGGACTCGTAATTGAATGGATTCTCGGATTTTGTGAGTTTTGTCGGGTTCCAAGGTGTGAGCCCGGGTTTGACTTTTTGATTGACTTTAGGGTTTTGATTAAAGATTTGACATTTATCATTTGGAATTGTTTCCTTAGGCATTACTTGATATTATTGAGTTGCTTTTGGCTATTTTCGAACCGTTTTGTGATGACCCAAAAGGTCATCACTTAGTTTACAAGTCAATTCTGTGTTCCAAGGTCTTAAAAACCTCTTTTTATCTCACCTTCATTTACGTGCGTGGTCCGGGCATATATCTGGAACGCTTTTATGTGAAAATTTGATAAAAATGCTAATTTTTCCTTTAAAATTGAATTTAAGTTGCCTTTGGTCAACATTTTGGGTAAGCGGACTCGGACCCGTGATTTGACGGTCCTGGAGGGTCCGTAGAAAAATATGGGACTTGGACGTATGCCCGAAATTGAATTCCAAGGTCCCAAGCCCGAGAAATGAATTTTTGAAGAAAATTGTTTAACTAAAATTTTAAGAGTTTTTGGAAATGTAAATGTGTTTGAATTTGATGGTATCGGGCCCGTATTTTGGTTCCGGAGCCCCGTACAGGTCTTATATGGTATTTAAGTTGTGCCTGTAAATTTGGTAAGAAACGGACTTCATATGACGTGAATCGGACCCTCGATTGTGAAATTTGAAACTTAAGAGTTCTTGAGATTTTTCTTTAATTTTGATGCTAAACTCGTAGTTCTAGATGTTATTTTGATGATTTGATCGCACGAGCAAGTCCGTATGCTGTTTTTGGAGTTGCCTGCATGTTTGGAATGGAGCCCCGAGGGCTCAGGTGAGTTTTGGATAGGCCGCGGAGTGTTTTGAACTTAGGAGCAGCAGCTGGTGTGTTGCAGGTCCGCAGGCTTCGCAATTGTGAAGCCTGGCTCGCAAATGCGAGCTCGCATTTGCGAACAATCATCGCATTTGCGATGACTGGGCAGGGGGACCTTCGCATTTGCGAAGCTCCATGTCGCAAATGCGACCCCAGCAGAAATCGCAATTACGAACGATGGTTCGCATTTGCGAAGATAGCAGGCCAGGCCAACCTTCGCAAATGTGAAGCCTTGGCCGCATTTGCGAACCTGGCATCGCAAATGCGATAATTGCGCCTGGGTAAATTGAAACTTAGACGGATTTCTCTTCATTTTTACAACTCTTCAAACCCTAAAACATCTTTGGGCGATTTTTCAAAGGCACCTACTCTTCCAAATCATTAGTAAGTCATTTCTAACTCATTTCTTTCAATCTAATCCATCTTTTTACATGATTTCATTTCAAAATCAAGAGTTTTTCAGGGAAAATTGGGTGATTTTGGGTAGAACTTAGGATTTTCAAATTTTTAGGATTTGGACCTCGATTTGAGGTCCGATTTCAAAACAAATTATATATTTGGGCTCGTGGGCTCGTGGGTAATCGGGTTTTGACCAAGCGGGCCCGGGGTCGATTTTGACTTTTAGAAGAAATTGATAGAAAACCTATAATTTAGCATTGGGATTGAATTCTTTAGCATTTATTGATGTTGTTAAATTAATTAGGGTTAGATACAAGTAAATGGGAGGCGAATTCTAAAGGAAAAGCGGTGTTTGAGGCTTGAGTTGGTCGTGGAAGTTCGAGGTAAGTGTTTGGTCTAACCTTAGCTTGAGGGAATAGGTGTTGTGCCTTATTTGCTATGTGTTAGTGTAGTGTACGACGTATAGGTATGGTGACGAGTATCTATACGTTGGTGTCAAGCATGCCCATGGGTCTCAAATTGTGATCGTTGTGTTTCTTAATAAGTAGTACGTACAGCTACATTGTTGTTTATCCATCTTGAGTGAGATTTATGATTTTCATCTTGGCATTTGGTTATTATTGAGCATTGGCTCTAGTTGAGGTGCAATTGTGAAGTTGATTATTTGTACCGGTTTGGTTATAGTTGATTTCCTTGCCGGGACGTATTTAATTCTTATTGTTGATTCCCTTTCTAGGACGTATTTACACTTATTACTGATTCCCTTGCCGGGATATTGTTGTTGCTACTGTTTGGGTGAGGAAAGAGTGATAAAGCACGAAGGGTGATGCCGTGCACATTTACATTCATACTTATGCATATGGTGAGGAAAGAGTGATAAAGCACGAAGGGTGATGCTGTGCACATTTACATTGATATTGATGCATATGGTGAGGAAAGAGTGATAAAGCACGAAGGGTGATGCCGTGCACATTCATACTTTTTTATATGGTGAGGAAGAGAGATAAAGCACGAAGGGTGATGCCGTGCAGATTTTCATTACTTGATTGCATTGGTGAGGATCGAGAGTAAAAGCACGAAGGGTGACGTCGTGCACTTATTTCCTGTTTGTTATGATTTCTTGTTGTTTTCGGTTCGAATGCCTTAATTG